TTTTAGTGTTAGTTTTAGTAAAGGAAAGATAAAAGAATAAGGAAAAGAAGGGAGTAAAGATTTGTGGAAGGTGGAGAAGAATTGGAATGAAATAAGGGTAATGATGATGTGGCAGGACCCATTAGAAGATTATTTGACTAAATTTTTTTGGCTTTGGCTGTGTGCATCACAAGGAGGTGATTAGTTACATTTTGTCTTTTGTGTTTGAGTGGGATTCATGGATTTGGTTTTAATTGTATACGGAGTATTATATATATATATATATAATGTATGTTTTGTCCGATGGATGAGTATTCAGAGGAAAATAGAGAAGTATAGAGAGGGAGGAAAGATGCAGAAAATGCTTTATTTAATTTATTTCAGTAGTGTAGAAAAGGCTAAAGAAAAACTTTATTTAATCTATGTTAGAAATGTAGAAAAGGCGAAAGAAAGACATGTGACTTACTGGTGAGATGATTGCATGTGATGATGAGTACATGATTAATTGGGTACGGAGGAAAATAAGGTTTGGCAGAGTAGGTTGATGGGCAATTGGCAGTTATAGTTCATCGATGTCCTTGGTATTGAGGAAGATTAGTACAGTTAATGACAAAACAAATTTAATGTTATTAAGAGAGAGTATTATGGTATAAGCAGTCAGTATACAAATTGGGTCTATATTACATAATTTATTATTTATGTAATTAATTATTTTAGATACTTGAAGAACTCATTGATTTATGAGTTAGGATTATTTTAAAGGTTAAAGAGCATTAATTAAATTAAGCAATGCTGTGGTTTTTAACTGAGATAATTGAATTTAATGGAGCTATAGTCTGGGACTAACCCATTAATTATTTTGTTAAGTTCGGTCAGGGACTGTCTACGAGAATGAATTACCTCTTTGTTATGGCCATTGGGCTAAATGTGCCCTTAGTATGTGGACGTGGTCGGGAACCATTTAGGTGAGTAAACGTACAACCTAACCACATATGTGTATTTAGTAGTCTGAGACTATGCAATTCACACCATTTAATTGGATTGGAGCCTAGGGCTCATGTAAGGTAAAGCCAATAGAATGCCAACTGGTTGAGGGTTGCCCGAGGCTCATGTGAAGTAAGTAGAATTTTAGTAATTTATTTTTAGATGAGTTACAAGTTCTTAATTTGAGTTAATGTTATTGAAGGACATCATAGTTGGCATAATTGTAATTTAGTCATTTTAATTATTAGTTAGTTTGATGATTTGTAGATATTTCATGGTCATTTTTATTATGTGTGTGTGTGTGTGTGTGTATATACGAATTTAAAGTAAGGATTGACTTGCTGAACGATAACAGTGTTTAGCAATTTCTTGTTGAGCTTGTGAGCTAACCCATTTATGATCACTTTCAGGTGCACATGGATTTAACTTGCAAAGGATGCTCAAGGGGAGATAGAGATTTTTCAGATTTTCCACATATTTATTTTATTATTATTTCTTAGCAAAACATATTGTAATAAGGTTCACCAAAGTAGTGGAAATTCTATTTTATTAGTGGATGTCATATATTATTTTTGGAATGATGGATATTTAAATGAAATTTATTATTATTGATTTAAGCATGGATAATTGGGGACGATATATGTGAGTCACGTACCAGATTTTAATACAGGAAAATGTTTCTTGTGTTAGAAATTTTGGGGCATGATAAAGTGCGTCTATATCCTTGGATTCTTCGATTGACCAGACAACATAATCGAACTTTGGTGCCAAGGTATGCAGTATTTTCTCAACAATGACAACATCTTCCATCTTCTCAACATTGAATCCCATTTTGTTTGCTATCCCCATAGTTCTTGCATAATAGCTAGTAACTGATTCACAATCTCTCATCTGTAAAGTCTCAAAATCCCTTTTCAAGGCTTGAAGTTGTGCACGCTTCACTCTTAACGAGCCTTGATATTTTTTCTTCATTGAATCCCAAATATCTTTGGAAGTTTCTTTGCTAAGAATTGTTTTCAAGATAGATCGATCAATGGCCTAGAAAAAGTAATTTTTTGCCTTCAAATCTTTTATCTTTAGTCCTTCCAGCTCTGCTTTTTGCGCATCTGTGAATGTCACGCCATCTCAGGTGCAGCTACACCAGATTCAACGACATGCCGCCAGTACTCTTTAGACCTCAAGAAGTTCTCCATCAACATGCTCCAATGGTCATAGTGGCCATCAAAACATGGAATAGCCGGCTGCACAAAATTTTCAGAAGCCATTTGTGCAACTTGGCTCTGATACCAATGATAACAAGAAAAAGAAGATAAAAGTGTAAAAGAGAGAGCATGAGAAAGAATTTGTACTCCATTATATTAGTTCTGGGCTCTGCAGCCTTTATATAGGCTAGTACACAACATAAATAATATAAAAATTGACACTAACATGCTAAACCAACTACATGAAAGCTAAGTAACATGGACCATGTTTTGCATAAACATAATAACCAAACCCCTAAAGACTATTAGGACAACTTAGACTGAGACAATAAACGTGCATAACACTAAATTATTCAATAAATATATCATTAAAAAATAGAGGAATACAATTATTCTTATTAATTTGGAAGTTAAAGCAAACTTAGTGATGGAGTGGAGATTCGAACTTGGGTCTTTGGCCACAAGTACCACATGCCTTACCACTGGACTATCACACCACATTCACATTTACATACAACTATTCTTATTTCTTAACATTTGCATGAAAATACCTTCCCAAAAAAAAAAAAAAAAAAGGCATTTGGATTATTTTTTTTTTTTCTTTCTTGTATATTTTGATAACATATATGTTTTCTCTTCAACAAATTGACATTCCCTCTTATTTGTATATAAATTGGACTATTTACATCCTTTTCCATTTAAGCACGCATGCTATTTTTAACCAACTATGCATTCTTGCTTTTTTATTTATTTTTATTTTATTTTATTTTATTTTATTCCCTTCTTCTTTTTAGCTAGACAAGAAAATGCTCCGGTAAAGTTAGGATAGTGTTTTGCTATTGTTGTAACATGTTTAATCTCATTAAATAAATCTTTAATTATGGTAAAGTAGAATTAACTCATCCATTAGTACTTATTTTTAACTCTCAAAAGGTTTGTAAAATTTTGAATGTAAATCACGAGCATTATTTAAGCTTTGCCTCATCTTTAATGAGACTCGAGACACCTAAAAAGAATTTTAATTTCCAAAAATCTTAGAGAAACTGTGCATGAATTACCAAAATCACAATTATACAACATAGCAAAGTGACTGTACACATGGCTCAAATGTACCCATTAGTTTTTATACATTCTTATATTTTAATTTTTATATATGAAGTTCTTTTTTGATCCATCTCTTTAAAAAAAAATAAAAAATCTCTTAAATATAAAGTAATAATAAACCCTTAAAAAATATATCAAAGCCAATTTTGGACCAAGAATGAGAGAGATATCTAAAAGATGTATTACTTGAGGAAAAAAAGAAAAAGAAAAAAAGATGCATTGCCATTTGCCAAATTATAATGGATTTTGCAATATCTATCTAGACATTTATTTATCATATTTCAATATTGGACTCGTAGAAAATTTTAAAAATAAAAAACAAAAATCAGAACATCCCACTCCCCACCAACTTACGTAACCGAAAGACACGTGTTCTATCGTGGGTCAATAAATGGACTTTTTAAGCGAAACAATCGATAACGTAAGAAGCTGCCGTATAGATTCCCGCCACGTGTCCTTTTTCTTTGTTGACCACCGACTTTTTTTGACTTTCGAGACGAGAAGCACTCACATGGATTGCCGACACATTCTCCATCCCTATCACGTTCGATTTTGTACCCAGTGATCACATTCATGTTACATTATCTAACAAAAATTTCAAGAAAATAAAAAAATAAAAAGAAAAAATAGTCGATTATCAACCTCTTTTTAACTAGAGACTAACTTTATATACGCGTCCTTAAGTGTAAGCGGACAAAATTTTGTGGGAGGTGAGTTACAATTTGTAAAACAGTCATCTATTTTAAGAGGTAGTGAGTATTTATTTTTATATTGAGAATATTTAAAAATAAAAAATAAAACTAATAATATATATATATATAATTTATTTACGCTTTTATTTTTCGCTTGTTGCGTCGATTTGTTAAATTATTTTATCATGTCTACTTGGACAAATTTCTGAATCGGTCCTACATGTACTATATACTTACCTAAATTTCTAAAATAAATGACCTAAAGTTGAGAACCGGCTTACAAGTGGTGTGGGTTTGAATTAAATAATTGAATAGATAAGGGTGGAAAATAAAATAAGGGTTAAAAATTATTTTTTATATTAAATTATGAAATTTAAAGCGTTAGTCCCTAGGGAAAATGAAAGGGACAGGGATTGCGATGTAGACTTTGGATGCTAATTCAGGAGAAGTTGCAAACAAACCTAGCTACTAGATCGACTCCTAGTGGTTGAATTTGAAACATTGATCACTTCTAATTTTCAATTTTCTTTTTATACTTCAAAAGTATAAGCCATTTGGATCGTTCTTTTATTAAAAAAAAAATTAGTATCTACTAAATAAATTTAATTAGATCGAGCCATTTCAAAATAAGGAAAATTTATGCCCTCGTAGTGGTTGATTTAAGAAGTTCATAGTTCTTTTCGATAGATAACAATCTAAATGGTATAAGTCCTCTTTCACATAAAGGAGGTCCAAAGTTCGAACCTAAATAGAGATATAAATATTTTGTGATATCTCACTTTACTAGTCAGGAGAAGTTCCTTATTGAAGGGTCCTATTAGGATAAATGACTTATCACCCGATTTGTAGTCATTTTTTAAGGATTCGATATTATTATATATTCTTAATGAATAGATTAATTCAGTCCATTTATACCAATATTCACTCAAATCTTTTACATTGCGACTGCAACTATTACTGGGACAACAAATCTTGGTCCCTACCTCTAGTATGGTCATGAGTCATGATCATCACCTCTCATGAGCAGTTTTTTCAAATCTCCATGAAAGGACAAAAATGGTAAATCACACACATTATCTCAACCACCGGCCATCACAAGGACACTAATGTAACTTCAGCACCAAAAAAATAAAAAATAAATAAAAAATCTCTCTCTATTTGTGATTACATACGATAACGAATAAAGAAACTTCATATATATCAATATATATTTGTATGTATATCAAATCTCTGCTTGTTTTTTAGCCAAATATTTTCCTAGTCAAAATCCTCCATTTTAGCTGTATGCCCCTGTCCCCTTCAAACGCAAATAAACCCTCTATCTTCTTTCTCTCTCCTCCATAACATTACCTCTCTACTACAAACTCTCTCTCTCTCTCCACATTATTCTTCTTTATCATATACTATTCTGAAAAAGTAGGAAAAAAAAAAAAAAAAATTCAATGGATACACCAGAATTCTTGGTAGGAGGGTACTACAACACCCACTACACGCCGGAAAAATGCCACTCCGATAACAAGGCCGGCGACCATTTCGTCGTCGAAGACCTCCTCCTCGATGTCCCCAACGACGAAGACGATGCAATCGTTTTGGAGGGTGGCTTAGATACAGTCACCGGAATCATCTCCACCGACTCCTCCCCCACCGTCACCGTCGTCGACAGCTGCAACTCCTCCGTCTCTGGGAGTGAACCTCACTTTTCCCGTGATGTGGGTTGCGGGCGGGTTACTGAGTCCCAATTCTCTGGCGACCTCTGTGTGCCGGTAATTTCAATTATTTCATACATACATACCCTTATATATATATATATATATATATATATATATATATATATAATATATGAATATATTTTTATTAAAACTGTTCACCTGCTCACTAAATTCATCCACGAATTAAATTTTGAACTATTCAATTGAATCGGACGGTTAATACTATCCATGCATATTTCTGCTGACCAGGTGCAAGTAAATATTTTTGTATATTTATATATCAATATGTATATATATCTCTTGTGTATGGTTTCAACAGTTTATTGTATTATTATTTTTGGTAAGTGGTTTATTTATTTATATAATAATAAAATGCTGAAGGAGTCGTGTATTTTTATGACTTTTAATAAAACTTAAACTTTGTCTGTTTGGTTAGTTGGGAAATTAAGGAGAAGATAAGAAAATAAGTTTTTAGGCGTATGCATGGCATGTCGTATTGGTTTCCTAATTTAATCTATTAAGCAAATGCATGCATTATAGTTCTTATATATATATATATATAGATATATATATATTTCTGAGCTTTCAAACAACAAAAATTAATTTCACTGCAAATTTATTTTTAGCCTTAATTGCATGCATGACAGAAATGATGTCACATAACGAAGTTGTCACATGTGATTCTTTTGATAATTGTGGTGTATCCAAAAATAAATAAAGAGTTCAAAATTTTATTTTCTAACAATATATATTATACATATGCTTAACAAAATATATGTTGATATTGTGTTTGACATGCAGTCTGATGATTTAGCTGAGCTGGAGTGGCTATCAAACTTGGTGGAAGAATCATTCTCAACCGAGGATTTGCAGAAGCTGCATCTCATAACCGGAACGAAAGCTCCGACCCAAGAAGCATCCAAAACCGAGAAATCTCGACCCGGAACTCGCCGACATGCCCCGATATTTCATCCCGATATGCCAGTTCCCGGTAAAGCACGCAGCAAACGCTCGCGCGCTGCCCCATGCAACTGGACGTCCCACCTCTTAGTCCTCTCTCCAACCCGAACCATGTCCACAGAGTCCGACACTGGCAAGAAGGCAGTGAAAGCTACACCGAAAAAGAAAGAAGAAACAGATAATGCCACCGCCTCCATGGATGGCGGCGACGGGCGGAGGTGTCTGCATTGCGCCACCGATAAGACCCCACAGTGGCGTACCGGGCCAATGGGCCCGAAAACGCTTTGTAATGCATGTGGAGTCCGGTACAAGTCGGGTCGGCTGGTGCCCGAGTACCGGCCCGCTGCGAGCCCAACATTTGTGCTGACCGAACACTCGAATTCGCACCGGAAGGTGATGGAGCTCCGGAGGCAAAAGGAGCTCCAAAAGGCCAATCAAGGAAACCAACAGTTTCTTCATCATCAGAACATGAATTTTGGTTTATCACCCGGTGATGATTACTTGATCCATCAGCATATGGGGCCCGATTTCCGGCAGCTGATCTCGTGCATGCAAGAGTAGGGTATTCGGGTGGATATTCAGGTTTAGAGAGTTTCCGTTAATTTTTAATTTCATTGATTTTTGTAGTTCCTGAATTTGTTTTGTCAAAATTTGGCTAATTATAAAACTTTTTATTTTTTATTTTTAGCTGAAACATTTTTCTTTCTTGTTCTATTTATGGTTGGACTTGCATGATTATTGACTTTGGAAACTTTTTTTATTTTTCTTTTTTCCAATAAATTAAATTTGTTTGACATATATTGGATCTGATAAATAACTCCTACTGTACACTTCAAGACTCAAACCTTTTATCTTTTATTTTGGAAAAAGAGGAGATATAGACTTTTTTTTAGGGTTAAAATCTTAAAACTGCCTGTTGTTTACAAAAATTATCAACTAACTTTCTCAATTAAATAAACTATTATATTAGCAAATCACAGTAGTTTTAATTGACAAAATTACCTTTGTAATGACGTAATGACCAAACTACCCTTTCTTACACCACAAGGATTGCACGTGACCTTCTACGTCACTGATAATGTCGGTTTTGATTTCATTATTGACAAATTTGGCTAGGGAAAAAGAGAAGGCTTGGATGAGATTGGTATACCAAACCCAAGTCGATCTGTCATTCCGTCCATGGGTTCATAGTCTTAACAATGTCCCATGCCAATGGCTGATATGCTCAATTCCTAGCCTCTTTGCAAATCGAATCGATGACCATGGTGTCCATTGATTCCAGTGATTAACCATGGCGACTATAGAGGCTCCATGGATTCTGGTGACCATGGTGTCCATTCATTCCAGTAGCAATTTCTCATGTGTTTGAGGATGAATGGATTGATGATGGTGTAAAAATTCTGGCAAAGGCGAAGGCACAGTGCTATAACGAGGCGAACAGTGCTGGGTCTTAGGTCCTATGACTGGTTTCTACGATCAGTTCGTAGAATTTATGAGTCTTAAGTTTGGGTTTGGGCAGGCTGTGGATGGGGGTTGAAGGCTGTGGTGGTAGTGGTTTATTTTCTGAAATATATAATTATAGTGGTGTTGCCACCACCGATTATGGTGGTTATGCCTTTAATTTTGCGTGATTTTGATGATAACAAGGGGGATTCGACGATGTGAAGGCCGACGAAGGAGATAGACAACAACATCCTTGAAGATGTGTCGGCCAGGATTGGCGAAGAAACACCGGAGATCGCCTTGATGGGATGTGCCGACGGGGAGCATAGAGGAGTGGACGAGAACAGTGTCGGGAGGAGAGAAGAGAGGTGGGTAGTCGAAGGGGTAAGAGAGGAGAGAGAGAAAATGGAGGTGGAGAGGGGTGGGTGAGACAAAACATGGTTGGTTGGTTAGAGCAAGAGGGATGGAGACAACTATGGACATTTTCAGACCCTCTGCACAAAGCTACATTTGAGGGTTGGATTACGTCGTTTTAGTTATAGTATTGTGTATATTTTTCTTGGTTCACACAAATGGCATATTTGGCATTTCAAAACTATACAAAAATGTTTTATAAAATACTATTATAATATCAAGGATATTATTGTCATTTCGCAACAACTTAACGGTTGGATTACATCATTTTAGTTTTAGTATTGTGCATATTTTTCTTGGTTCACACAAAGGGCATATTTGGCATTTCAAAATTATACAAAAATGTTTTATAAAATACTATCATCCTATCAAGGGCATTACTGTCATTTCACAACAACTTAACGGTTCTATCACGGAAAAAGGACAACGTGAAAGTTTTTGTTAGTTCAGAGAGTTTTTTAGTAATTGAGGGAATTATATGTCGTTTTTGTAAACAACAGGGGTTTTTTTTTTATAATGATTTTAACCCCCTTTTTTTATTGATTTTTCTTAATTAGGGTTGAGAAGCCTGTAAGCTTCACACTGGACATAATTTTTGTTCGAGCAAAGACAAACACGACATAGTTCACAATTGATTTGTATGTGACCTACTAACTTTTGATCACCTGGGTCTCTTGAAATATTGACCTCTCAAGTGTAATTTCTCATCAATTTTTACCCCGTTTTGTTTGTTTAGATTCAAGTCTACTTATATCGAATTTCGGTCTTACTAATTCTCAAACTCTGGCTCTATTCTCTCAAAAGAGAATTGAGAGTTCGACTTCTATTGTGGGCATTTGTGAATGGGTAGTGATAGGGAACCGAAAGGTATTCCTGAAAAAACGACCGAATCTTTCGTGGCAAAGCGATGTCAGATCCTCACCCTCCATCACATGCAGGTAAAAAATAAAAATAAAAAAGAAGGGAGGGAAGGTGATCTCACAACGGCAGTGTAATGACCCGGTCATTTTCCTTCCTTTCCTTTTCTTGAAATTTTACAGATAAATTTTTTCATTGAATTTTATTTTCTGAATTCAGTTACCCATCACTTAGTGTCGTCTTGAGTGCTCGGAAATGGTTTCCGAGACTCTTTCCTTTGGATTGACAATTTCCTTTAAGGACTGAGTCATTTTCACATTTTTTATTTTTTGGACACTATTCACTTTTTGTCTTTTTCTCGAGAATGATTTTCTTCTCGTAACCTCACTTTTTGTGTTCGGATTAAGTTCCAATTTTGCATGCATCCATGATATGTTATTTTCATGATATTTTTATTTTTATTTTTTTAGAAAAACATGCTAGTTGTTTACTTTTACGTAAAAGGGTATGGATGCATAGTTTCTTTGGAAACATTATTTATTTTTTGGAGTTTTTTTCGTAATTATAGAAAGTAATTATTTTATTTCTTAGGGACCTTTTTGTAATTTATTTTGGTAGATATTTTCAAAAAGGACCTTTTTGTAATTACCAGAAAGTGTGACAAGTGTCGCACTCTCATTGGTCCACTTGTAAGCATCTCATTGGTTAACACTTGGAAGCCTTAGATGATGATATGTGGAGGGTGGAGATTCACCCACTTGTTGGCCTAGCATTGGTGCACTTGTTGGCTTATATTGTTGACAAGTGTAAGCTTTAGATTAAGCCTAGAATGAGCCATTGGATTAATGACAAGTGTAGGCTTCTAATTAAACTCTAAATTTTGTGTGTGTGAGGGGATGGTGCAAGACTAGGTGTGTTTGACTTCCATTGACCAAGTGAGTGGAGGAATACACTAAAGTGTTTTAATTATTTCATTTTACACATAAAACTTTTTTTTCCTCATTTAGAACCCTAGCAACCATTGAAGGAAACCATTAACCTAGGCTTAAAACCTTGGTTTTGACCTCCTTCTATTCACCTTAGACCTAAAAGCTTGGAACACAAAACACTTGCCTCACCTTCCTTTATATAACCCTTGAAGGAAATTCAAAAATTCCTTTGTTTGCTTTGGATTCAAGAGGAACAATCCTCTTGTGAGGTAGGGGTGATTTAGGTTTTTAATCTAAGTGTTTTAATTATTTTTATAACTTACAATAAATTGTTTACATGTCTTTTACTTAATTTTTAAATTAATAGGCTGTAGTACCTTGCATGAAATTAAGATAGGACATGATATTCTTAAAGGTCATGACTTGATCTATAACTTGTATTAGTATAAAATCATTTGGAGTTGTTTTGGAATTTAGAGATTTAATTAATTAAAATTAATTAATTTTTATTTAATTGTTCCACTTACTTAATTAAGTTTTTGAGTTGATATATGTGATTACCATGATAGTACCATTGGTATATAATTATTCGGAGTCATTTGAAATTGATTTAAATTCTAGAAAAATTAATTAGTTAATTTAATTAATTTCTATTCAAGTGTTACATTTATTTAAATTAACATTTGACTTGATATATGTAATGAGTATGGTATGTTCTTTAACATATATTAAATTGAGAATACTTGAATGAGTATGAAAAATTTTATTTAATTATTTTCTTTTATGAAATTTAATTCACCTAGTTGTATCTAGTGTAGAATTAACTTGTAACTTGATTTTAAATAATGCCTTGACATGTTCTTTAATATATATTAAATAAAAAATATTTGGATGAGTTTTGATAAATTTATTTAATTATTTTCTTGGCATTGATCTTAATTTACCTTGTTGTAACTAAGGTAGAATTGGCTTGTAACTTGAAATTAAATTAGGCCTTGCTATGACCTTATTATATTTAGAATTCTTGGAGTCGCTTTGTAATCTTGATAATTTAATTAAATTCCATATGTATGCTTTCATTGAAGTAATTAAGTATTGATATTATATTCTTACTTAATTTATAATTTGCAACTTGGTGTATGATTACAAGATGGTATTCCATGAGTAGAAGTTAAGATTTAACTTGTTATATACACATTACACTGATATGACATTTAATATGCCATTTTAGCTTGAAGGCCTAGAGCATATCTTGTGTATATTTCATGACTTGGTTGTGCATGGTAATTGACAATGTGCATTGTGTATATGTGATATACTTGTTGCATAACTTGATAATTTTTGGAAAGCTTGTATGGACATTGTAATATGTTAAGGCTAGAGTATGTCTCTAGTACGGGGGATACGAGTTCATATAGTGCGCACTAGGTAGTTCCTTACGGGTTAGTAACCTGAGATAACTTGTTTAGTCATTAAGACCATATGTCCTTTGTCTTTCCGCCATTGGTTGATTTCGCATTCAATTCCAATTTGTAATTGTGGATTAGTTTTAACTTGTGCTTGGATGCATGATACTTCATTTCTTGCTTAGTATACTTGGATTTGTATACTTGTATTCTTTATATATCAAAAATGCTTAGTATACTTGGATTTGTATACTTGTATGCCATATATGTCAACATTGCTTAGTATACTTAGAAATGTATACTTAAATATATATGTTGCATATATTGCTTAGTGTTCTTAGTGTGTACTCTTGTATATTGATGACTTACTTTCTAGATAACCTAGTATACTTGTATCTTCTATACTTGTCTTAAGTGCATTTCAATCTTGATTGTATACTTGCGTACGTATACTTGTATATTGAATGACTTGTTACATGTACCGCATGCCCCTATGTTGTTTAAATCACCTTTGACATAGACGCTAGGTAGCATGACCATTTGAGTTAAACTATAGCAACTTAATAGGTTTGTGAAACGTTAGGTCTTTGCATGTTCATCTCCTACGAGTAGCTTTATGTTACTCACCCACGTAGTAGGGACATTTTCCAGGTACAGGAATCAAGGTTTGAGATTCTCATATTGCTTTGATGATTTGTAGCCTTGAAGGCTTCAATTCTTGTAAATGTTGGCTTGAAATGTCATTTATAGCATTATATGTCAATAATGTGTAAATTTGATTCTATTTATGTAATGTATACATAAATACACACTTTACAATGTATTTGACATGTATGAGATGAGGCTACAGGCCAATGACATCTAATTTGTATTCAATGCTTTTTCACTTTCAAGATAA